ATGGGAGGAAATCGTTAACAAATCAGAATTCTTTGTTAAACTTTTTAAAAATGGAAGTGAATCTGTTGGTCTCCTGCAGAGCTCATGACTAACAATGTTCTTAATGATCCTCAATGCATGACATTGTGTTCAGCTTTACAAATTTTCATGGCACAGTGGTCCAAAATGGGGGAATGAGTGGGAACATCAAGATCCTATGTCATGCTTTTTGAAAATAAGTAAAACTGTTGGTCCCCTGCAGATTTCGGATCCTGGATAAATTCATGTATTTAATTTCTTTTAAAGTGATTATTGTATGTCAGACCATAATGTTCACAGAACTTTGTTATAGATTAGATTATGTAGCATTATTTGCCTCTACATTGCATTAAAAATAATGGGTAAGCTCCTTTACCACATCATGTCACTAATCTTTGAAGAAATTTTTTGTTCATTTTATCTCATTTTTCTTACTTTTTTATCTTTTCTTTTCTGTTTTTTTACTCTTTTCTGTTTTCCTAAATTTTTCTTGTTTTCCTTCTTTTCGATTTTTATTATTTTTTTTGTTAGGTATCTTTATTTGTGAATTTTTCTTTTGTATTTTGTTTTTTTATTCTTTTCTTGGATTTTTCAATCTTTGGTAATTTTTGTTCTCAATGATTCCTTAATTTTTTTCAATTTCTGAAAATCTGCATAGTTGATTGAAATGAAGCTACAAAATGTAATCTACAGAGTGTGTCACAAAAAAGGAGCCACCTGGAATATCTGATAAACAGGTTGGAATTTCGAAAAACGGTAAAAAACGTGTTCGTTTATATTGTGGGGACACCTTTTGACGTATTTTAAATTTTCCCAAACCGCGGGAGAGGCGCGGGGCGGGGGGTGCCCCTCCCGTAAATCGAAATTTTCAAATGGCACCCCCATATTTTTATTTCAGAGATTGATTGTACGCAAAAAACAAGCCACACTGTCCAAACCGGATGTAAACTGGATAATTTTTCAGCAATAGGCAGAGGTTGAAACATTTTTCTAATGCTCTTGTCAATAAATCCCCACGCCGAATGTGATTGCCGTATCAAAACAAACTCTCCGCCAAAAAAAACTCTTAAACAGTGCCCTTTCAATAAAAAAAATAAAAAAATCTGCCGTACTCGAAAACTGGAGTACGGGGAGCCCTTTCCTTCCACATTAAGATGCGTTTTACCGAACATTTCTGAGGGGCGCTCATTGGGCGGGAGTAGTAAGTTTTGGACACGAATCAGTATTCTTCTTCCTGAAGCATAAGAAAGTAAACCCATGGAGAAACAGTTAAATAGAAAAAAAAATGGATAACCTTTTTTCAGGTGGATTTCAATGATTTGAGCCGGACCATGATGTTTTTACGAACGTTTAAAATCAGTTCTTACTCATCAGAACATTTATTTTCAAGAAAGGAGAAGTTTCAACTTTCCGTGTATTCGTCTTTTGTCATTCAAAATTAACTCTAGAAAATTGCCATGCACCGAGGCAAAATAGTGTTCTTAAAAATATCAAGGTCCGGCTCAGATCATTGAAACCCACCTGAAAAAAGGTAATCTATTTATTTCTCTATTTGTCTGTTTCACCATGGATTTGGTCTCTTATGCTTCAGAAAGAAAAATACTGATTCGTGTCCAAAACTTACTACTCCCTCCCGATGAGCGCCTCTCGGAAGTGTTCGGTAAAACGCATCTTAATGTGGAAGAAAAGGGCTCCGCATACTCCAGTTTTCGAGTACAGCAGATTTTTTTATTTTTTTTGTTGAAAGGGCACTGTTTAAGAGTTTTTTTTTAAGAGTTTGGTTTGATACGGCAATCACATTCGGCGTGGGGATTTATTGAAAAGAGCATTAGAAAAATGTTTCAACCTCTGCCTATTGCTGAAAAATTGTCCAGTTTACATCCGGTTTGGACAGTGTGGCTTGTTTTTGGCGTAGAATCAATCTCTGAGATAAAAATATGGGGACGCCATTTGAGAAGTTCGATTTACGGGAGGGGCAGCCCCCGCCCTGCGCCCCTTCCGCAGTTTGGGAAAATTTAAAATAGGTCAAAAGGTGTAGCCACGATATAGACGAACACGTCTTTTACCGTTTTTCGAAATTCCAACCCATTCATCAGATATTCCGGGTGACTCCTTTTTCGTGAAACACCCTGTATAACAAAGTTCTGTGAACAATATGGTCTGACATACAATAATAACTTTAAAAAAAATTAAATACATGAATTTATCCAGGATCCGAAATCTGCAGGGGACCAACAGTTTTACTTCCATTTTTAAAAAGTTTAACAAAGAATTATAATTTGTTCTCGATTTCCTCCCATTATGGACCACTAAGCAGCCGAAATCGTTGAAACTGAACACAGTTATATGCAAAGGGGCCCAATAAGAACATTTACAGCCAAAACCCATCAAGGATGTAACTTTTTCGTCCATTTTTCCCGCCTTTTTGCTGTTAAATTGCTGTCCAGAATGATGGCGATTTGGCAACTTTGCTCCCTTCCCCCCCCCCCTATTTCTCAAAAACCATGCGTACACTACAGTTCAAATTTTTACCAGAGTTTTAGGGTATTATAAGGTATTGTTTGGGCCTGGTTTCAGAAAAATCCCTGCGGACCCTAATTGTGCCAAAGAACGGTCGTTTTCAGTGTCGCTCTTTTCAAACTGTGAACTTTTTGCGATTGACATCAGATGGAGAAGGGCCTAAACAAACAAAAATAGGCCGAAACAGATGAATAACTGGTGAAAAAGACAGTCTTTAACATGCTACTGAACCTAGGTATCTCGGAAATGGAGACTTCAATCATTGATATATTTTTTTTTCCAGTTCATCATTAAGATGTACAAAATCAAACTATCCACACTTTCATGCACACGTCAATCAGTTGAGGACCTTACAGCTACTGGAAATCGGAAGAACGTGTTAAAAACCTTCAGGCTTCAAACGGGACGGGTTTAAAATTTTTTTTCAAAATTCTCTTGGCGACCATGCTTTATGGTTTATGACATCAGAACATTTAAGACCATGCAACATTTGGTTTGGTCGATTGAAAAAAATAAAACCCACCCTAGGGGTCTGGTTTCGGATCTGGTTGAGTTGATGTAGAATGACCCGCTAAGGTAAGTTGAGCGTTTCCCTTAAATTTCCTCATTTTAAAATTCTACGACCTCCCTGATGGTAATTTTCACACCTCATTCCGAGTCCTATCAGAGAGGTAACTGAACTCAAAAATAAAAATTTTCCGATTTTCTCCAAAAAAAATCCCTCATTTTGGCAGAATTCCCTCATTTTATCTTAACTTTTCCTAACATTGAAAGAATTCAGTGATTTTTTCTCAGATTCACTTCTTGTAAAACTAGAGAGCCTGTATCACTCTTTGATCATGACCTGTCCCCTCTCTATTCCTCTCTCAAAATGTCTGAGCTAGTTAATACATTTAGTTACAATGATTGCTTCTTTCTATTTAAGCTCTTTCATGGTTTCATAAACTCACCTGAACTTCTTAGTAAATTTAATTTAGCTGTTCCAGCTAAGTTATTGCGATCTGAGAACATTACATTCGATACTAATTTTAATAGTTCTGATAGGTCACTGGTCACCAGAATGAGTAAAGTTGATAACTCTGTGCCAGTTGACCTCTTTAATTCTAAAATTTGTAATTTTAAGGCTGCCCCAAGGAGGACATTCCTTTATGATCTCTCTGGGTAATCAATTAATTATTATGTTGTAATTATGTCACTTTTCGAGAAATTTTTATAATTTGTTACTTTATTATTGTACTAATGTTTTTTTTTTTTTTTTAAACCTTATTGCCGTCTTGTTGTGTCTTTGTTTTGTGATAGTCTCTAGCAAATGAGTCTTTATGACCCGTTAGTACTGTGGATGGATGGGTGGATGGGTGGATGGGTGGACGGGTGGACGGGTGGACGGATGGACGGATGGACGGACGGATGGACGGATGGATGGATGGATGGAGGGATGGATGGACGGATGGACGGACGGACGGACGGACGGACGGACGGACGGACGGATGGATGGACGGATGGATGGATGGATGGATGGATGGATGGATGGACGGACGGATGGATGGATGGACGGATGGATGGATGGATGGACGGATGGATGGATGGATGGATGGATGGATGGACGGATGGATGGATGGACGGATGGATGGATGGATGGACGGATGGATGGATGGATGGATGGACGGATGGATGGATGGATGGACGGACGGACGGATGGATGGATGGATGGATGGATGGATGGATGGATGGATGGACGGACGGACGGACGGACGGACGGACGGATGGATGGATGGATGGACGGACGGACGGACGGACGGACGGACGAACGAACGAACGAACGAACGAACGAACAAACTTTAAGAAAAAATTCTCTTCTACAAACCTATTTTTGGAAAGGTATTAAAAATTAAAAATTCAGGATAAGCCAATGCACAGTTTTCAACTGTTGAAAATATTTCATTTCCTGGTGCACTTAGGTGGATCAAAAAATAAGTTTCCTTTTACTGAAATTTCATTGGATTTTAACGAATTTTGAATTATGTTGTCAGACCACAGTTGGCTGAGCTCCTTTGATTCAGGGGTGATATGCTCTAAAATTTCTATCCCTAAAAGGAACAGAAAGATTCTGATCATGTCCCCCAGAGCATTTGTTTAATTTTTACGATGAAACTTGTGCAAAGAAGGTTCATCAACCAGGAAGCTTGATTGATGTAGCTGAGCCACTTTGGGTCCAACTAGAATCTACACCAAACCAACATTTTTAGGAGGATTTTAGCTTTCTTTCGGTCCATGATTGTTTAAAATCCGTTAATAATCAATAGAAATCTGGTATAGAGACACTTACTCCTTTATCCAGCTGAGTACACATATGGAGCTAAAAATACATTTAATTGGCAAACGAGACATGCGCATTTTTTCTCCTTAGAGTGGAAGAAAGGATACAGCTTACTGAATGCATCAGAAGCAGAGGGTGAGGTTACCTGAATCAGAGGGTGCTTTAGCTGAGGTGTCCCATGAGTTTTGCGTTTGGGTAGGAAATTCCCACATTGTTGCTGAACAGACATGAAACATAAAATGTATGAAAATAACAATACAGTTCATTTTCCGTACTTTGAATTTTAGATTTTTTGGGAGTATCGATACCATGATGTATCCACCTGCATCGAGAATCAAATCTGGAACTACCACTCCACCCCCCTCCTTTTTTTAAAGATAATAAATATTTACAGGAGATGAGGGGTTTATGGTTTGAATACAGAAAAAACTTTCCTTACTCAAAAGAACAAAATAACTCATAGTTAATATTACGGTTTTTAAGTTACCCTGATTTATTGTACACAAGAGTTTTTGTTCTAATTGATATTAATTTCATGATAGCTAAATACTACTTCTTTCACTAAATTTAAGTTTAGTTTACGTTGAGGAACTCGGTATTTTTACGGATGTCACAACATTCTGGATGCAGTTTTCTCAAAACAAGGTGCAAGCAGAGGCTTGTCTTTCAGTAAGTCCTTCATGGTGGGGTCTCACAGGGTCAAACTCCCCCACCCCCCCTCCCCACTGGTATTCCAATTGAGGTTACCAGCATGAAACTTGGTGGAAATGTTATTTGAAGTACCTAGAACGAAGATTAGTCAAAAAGCAAGCCATCATAGTATCATGGTTCCTCCTCCGGTTGGCCACCATTTTCCAAGATGACGTCTCAAGACTAGTTTTTCCTTTGTCTCTTTGATTTCCGGATTTTTTTTGCAGCTAAACACTTAAAATTTGGCGGGAATACGCAGATTTATAAGTAACTAAGTACGTAAGTAAGTAAGTAAGTAAGTAAGTAAGTAAGTAAGTAAGTAAGTAAGTAAGTAAGTAAGGGCCGGGTTGACAGGCGAGGCGCCCTCAAGGGGCCAAGGCAACTGGCAGGAACCCTGCCGTCTGCACCCCGAAGTTGGACTATGCGCCTTAACTTCGTACTATTCTACATTTTGAATTATACACTGTATATTCCTGCAAGGCTTAGCGGCCGTCTGATGGTTAACGGTAGGTCTTATCAAAGACTGGCAGACGCAACAGAGCACGGATTTTCGAAGCACGGCCATGCCTCCACCGAGTTGGACTGTGTTGTTTTGATCTCCACCGTTAGGTAGCGCTGGCAGCCGCGCACACTACGAGTTATCACCGATTTTTTCACAACCCAGTCGAACAGTGCAGAAAGATTACTTACTGGGTGACTGTGTCCCTCCCACACCCAGTTACCTCGAAGGGTCAGGGTATTGAAGTGGCATAGTCATCCACGATCACGATGGCTGATATTTGAGTGTCCTTAAATATTAATAATTATTCTGATGGGGTCCTATAATTTGAGTCACCTCCGGGGATTGAACCAGGGACCTCAATGTTGGCAGCGAACCGCCTTGACCACCACACCGTTGAGGCTGACAATATGCAGAGTTGTGCTAAGATCAGAAAAATATCGAGACACAAGTTCAATCCGCCATTTTATTCTGGCTAGTGGCCACCACTTTTGAATATTTTCCATTTTTCCAACTATCCATCCCTTCCTATACTGCACGCCCATTTTCCCACACATTTACAGGGTGCAATATGGTTTCTGCTTTTCTTAGTGTTAGCGAAACCAAAGTCTGGAATGTTTTGAAGAAAATGGAGACTGAATTCATTGAAATTTTCCATCGCTTTTCAACAACAATGGCCGTGGATGAAGAGGATTTTAAGAGGCTTCAATGGTTTACCATCCTGTTGTAGGACTTTAAAAGTCTAGCAGAGTTAATAAATAAGTGTCGGAGGATTTTATGTATGTACTTTGTTTGTTTGTCAAATTAACTCTATTATTGAAACTGAGGTTTATTTTAAATTTTTTGAAAATCTTTTGAAATTTGTAATTAGCTATTGGGTGGTATGGGTGGTGGGTGAATTTTCTCAATATAATTTCATCTTCTCCTTCGCTCAAAATTGAAATAGTTTCCATTCTTTCTTTCTCTTCAACTTTGTTAACAAGTTTGTCTATCTCTTGCCGTTTGAAACCATTCTTTTCTCCAATCTCAATTATCTTATTTCTTTCTCTTTTTCTTTTTTCTTCGCTGAGGGGGACTTTGCTTCGCAGGATGCTATTGGAATCAGAACAGATTGCCACATTTTAAAAGTCTGATCTGATGATGTAATTGATAGCTTGTAAAATTGCAAAACCTCCGGCATTGAGGATGATATGAAAATGAGATACGCCGTTTGAAAATTTTAAAGAAATTATTAATTATAAAAAAAAAATTGTTAGAAAAGGGATTCTTTGGGACCAAAGAATTTCCAAGGACAGCAAAAAGAGGATTTAAAACTCTGTTGTCAAACCTATAATGAACCATGACAGTGAAGTGTGGTAGTTGAAGGTGCGGACCCAAGAAATGCTCAAGGCGACAGAGATGGACTTCTGGCGAATATCGACTGGAATTTCGAGGAGAGAACATATCAAGAATGAACGTGTCTCAGAGATAATGGGCGTTGAGGGGACAATTGTGCACGTAATCATGACCGGGCTATTGGTATGGTATGGGCATGTGCAGAGAGTGGCTGATACCAGGTTGCCGAAGAAGGTGTTGGAGTGGGTCCCCCTCCAGGTAAGCAATGGAGAGGGCTAGGGTGTGTCTTATTTTTGAGTTTTTCGAAATCCAAAAAGCGCTACCCCTAAAAAGTTTCTCCCTGCTGTAAAAATCAACATACTTTTTTTAATTTTAACCCACCTCTCACGGGGCAAAAAGGGCCTAAAAGCGAAGTTTGAATTTATGCATTTTTAAGGTGTCATTCTCAGGTAGTAATTAAAAGTTACAGCTTTTTGGACAAAAATTTCTTCCGCTTTGCCGTATCGTGCATTTTAAAGGCATAAATAGTCTCTGAAACATATATGTTGCGCCGCGTGCGCAGTGCCGGCCGCTCGCACGCAGCGCACACACCTTACTTACCTGATGCCACGACGCGACGCGACGTCGGTCCGCGGAAACCCATAGTGGACTTTTTGTTCCTTTAATAAGTAAAACGACCTACAAAGAAAAATAAAAAATAACTTCTTAACTACCAATAACATATCCTTCTAAAGGTCCTATTCCATAACTACTAAAATTTACACTAGTCCAATCAAGCAACACAAACCTCCCTGTCATTCCAAACAACCCTTCTATGCCCTACCAAACAACCTGTCCTGATTGTTCACTTGGTATGTTCTCCAAGGCTCAGTCAATTATTTTCTTATTAGTCGCTATGTCGAGCCTCTTAGCGTGAAGCTGGTGTAGGGGACTCTTACTTTTACTATATACCCACCCAACTCTCTAAAATCCTTAAAAACTTTCTACTATACAATCCTATTTTTTCAAATCCTCCTTAGCTTCAATATAACCTCCTCTGTCTATAGATGGCTGTAGATTCCTGTCAAAATAATATAAAGGAATAGAAGCCACAAAACTGAAAAAAAAAAAAAAAAAAAAAAAAAAAAAAAAAAAAAAACCTACAAAGGAAATGAGGCACATTAAAATCCATTATGCACACCAGGTTAATGAAGGGTATGCTACAGAGGTAAAACATATTTAGCCAAAATATTTGAGTTTATTCAGACATGAAAGTATCACAAACACTTCGAGAATTTAAAGGCTTTTGATTTTCTTTTCCAAATTCACTTTCTTTTTGACATTTTGAGAAGTTAATAGCAAATCTTGATATTCATTTCCTCTTTTAGTTATAGGTCGGATTCATGTTTGCATGTGTCGAACTGCCCTTCCGGCGGAATCGTTGACCATGCGCAAACTTTTTACAACTTCCCTCGCCTTCAAGTAGTCAGGTTTAGTGTCCCACTCCAAAGGTAGAACAAAAAGAAAACTGTCTGGAATTTGTAAAACACTGAAGAGCGTTTTGCTATTCGTTGCAAAAAGATCGGGTAGGCTGGGACATTCCTTAGCATAAATTGGAAGGTAATCGATTAGGAGGGTCAGAGAGACTATGATTTTTCGTCAAATTGAGGATGCAAGTTTCCTCCGTGAAGAGCTGCAGATACGTCGTTTTCTTTATTAAAGGAACAAAAAGTCCACTATGGGTTTCCGCGGACCGACGTCGCGTCGCGTCGTGGCGTCAGGTAAGTATGGTGTGTGCGCTGCGTGCGAGCGGCCGGCACTGCGCGCGCGGCGCAGCAAATATGTTTCAGAGACTATTTATGCCTTAAAATGCACGATACAGCAAAACGGAAGAAATTTTTGTCCAAAAGACTGTAACTTTTAATTACTACCTGAGAATGACACCTTAAAAATACATAAATTCAAATTTCGCTTTTAGGCCCTTTTTGCCCCGTGGGAGGTGGGTTAAAATTAAAAAAAGTATGTTGATTTTTACAGCGGGGAGAAACTTTTTAGGGGTAGCGCTTTTTGGATTTCGAAAAACCCAAGAATAAGACACACCCCAGAGAGACCATCCAGCCAAACTGTGAGTAGGAGGCATCCGTGAAGAGATGAAGAGATGCCAGCTTCCGGAGGATCTCTGTCATGACAGATTCCTGAGGCACGTAGACGTCGCAGATCGCCCGAGCGAGCCGTAAAAGCGACTTACGCATACATTAATTTGGAAAGCTGATGTTATGTATTCAGCGGTTTTGGCTCCATCTGTATAGCATTGAGTGTAGTTGATATATTGGTTGAATAATAGGAATATAAATTCTGCTTAGATAGTGCCTGGATCTATTATTTTGATGTTGTCTGAAGAAAGGAAGTTTATATTGGGTTTAAAGAATTGTAATTTAGGATCTTTGATTGAATTACACGGTAGTAAGGTTTTATGGATTCTTGGTTCGAATTCTTTCAGGTGAGGCCATCTATATATGAAGAGGGGGTAGGTTTTAATGGAACAGTAGGCAAAAGTTTTAGTGTTGATTGAGTTACTTCCTAAGCTCATAGCTTTCAAAAATAGCCTGTTCGTTAGATAGTAGAATCTATACTTTATTGGAGGAATAACGGTGTCATATCAGGAGGATTTGTTGAGTTTTAGACGGACTGAAAACATCTAAAAATCCTTGACAAGGCGGAAAATCTAACGGAGTTGTGGGAGAGCAAAAATTGAACGAAATAGTTGATTGAACCGAAAAGATTGTATTAAAGAATTTTGAAAAGATTTACAATTTTACAAAGAGTTAGAATGTCTCACAGGGATGTGCCATAAGGGCGAGAGTGGCACAGCGTACTAGTCGGGGTCAAGAGGGTAAAAGGACCATGAGAAACGGGCAGCACAAGCTTTTATAGACTTGCTGACGTCACAGGTGGTGAGACAACAAGTCTACACGCTATTGGCTGGCTATAATCAGTGGAGTTATCAGTTGCAAGTTCAGTAATTAAATTTATGGGTGATTGAAGGTGATGGTTGGGAGATAGAAGTGAAAAAGACAAAAGTGGACAAAATCCAGCCATCTCTAATGAGTATACTGAATATGCATGGGAAATTTATAAGTTTAAGAAAAGAACAAGTTGCAGGTAATTCAATACCTGTGACACTCGTCCGGACGACATTTTTGTCACTTTTTTTGTTGAACAGTGATATCAGTTCATAAATTTACTAATAGCGACGGCGCGAATACTCGCAAGTTGCGAATAGTGCGCCAGTCAGACGAAGCGAATATTCGCCGAACATTCACACAGCCCAACTACCTACATATTTGCTTAATTTCATGATTCTGGCGATTGATGGAACTTCCCAAGCGCCAGCCTGGCCGCATTTTGAGTTTCTAGGCCTCCCTTAATCCCCCCCCCTCCAAAGCTTACTTAAGGCATCAAATTAAAAAAAATTGAAAATTCTACCACATGACTAGGCCCTTTATAACCGTGGGCCTTGTCGCATTGTGAACCTTACATTTACGCCACTGATTCCGGCTGCCAATCATCCACAAAAATCTGGGAAACTATGTTCGGGCAGATCCAGGGGGAAGACCGCTGCGTAAAAAGATTACAGTCATTATCTGAGATAAAATGACAGATTGAACTTGTGCCTCGATCTTTTTCTACTTCCATCATAAGTAAGCATATTCCTGCCATTTTTTAAACGTCTAACTACAAAATAGCTGCTAAAGTCTGTGGAGCCACGGAGAGACGGGAGAGAGTCGTTAATTTCCAAAATGGCGGCTATTTTTGGTTGGAATGAAATTGCCAATTGAACTTGCGTCTTGATATTTTTCTGTTCTTAGCATTAGTATTTATAATCCTGCCAAATTTCCATTGTCTAGCTGCAAAAAATCTATGGAAATCAAAGAGACCAAAGAAAAACGGGTCTGAGACACTAATTTCCAAAATGGCTACCAATCGCTGTGAAAAAATGGCCGACTGGACTTAAATCTCAGTGTTTCCTCGTTCTACTTACATTCATGCATATTGCTACTAAATTTCATGTTGATAGATAAATTACAACCCCTGAATAATGAGAAAATGTGAAAACCAGCTTTGGGCGCCCATCTTGGAAAATGACGGCCAAAATACAGAGAACCATGAGAGATGCGGCTCGTTTTGGGTCCCTTAAAAACCATTTTCACCAAGTTTTATACTGGTAACCTGAAACGAAATACCCTGACCCTAAACGACTCCACTATCAGTTATCCGTAGGTTTGTCACCTGTCAAATCATTCTTGTTGCCACTATAGATCCATCTGAATTAAAAGCTTTGTGAAAAATAACTTTGGAATAGGTCTGAAGAAACAATTAGCTTACATTTTACTGGAGGAAGACCAACTTCATAAACATGATTCATGGAGTGAGGTTGAGAAACATGTTTTGTACTACCAATTGAATTTGATACAGAGGAAGAATACACATTGCTTTGACGTGAACTCTGCAAATAAAAAACAAAATGTTTAGCATTAGAAAAAAAAGTAAATAATGTTGAGCAGTGCACAGTGGGTTGGAATGTTCTAAAGAAAAGCGTATCTACTCTAGGTAAAAACATAAGCTCAGGTGGCCTTTACGCTAAAAATCCTAACCTAACGGTGGGCGTGTCCACTACCCCTTCCTTCCTTTTCCCTTCTATTGTATCATCTCTACCTGCGCGATCAAGGCCCACTCAATTTGCTAACCTATTTTTTGCTCCACCCCAACTTTCCCATCCGGTTTTTTGGCGATTTCCATTCCACCTTCACGCTACTTTCTTTTCCGACCATTGTAGTTCATTTTTCCCTGTGCTCTCAATTTATTTCTTCTTTAATTTCTACTTTTGTTTACTTATTCAGTGATTCGTGACGTACTCTTTACAATTTAGTTTTTTTTCAAATGGTAAAGTATGGTTTTTAATGACTTCCTTGATAATTCTGAGCTCATATTACAATATCTTTTTAAATATTTTTTCTCTTTCAATAGGAATTACCGAAAATGAATGAATCACTTCACCCCACAACCAATAATATGGTCGGTGATGAATTGTATTTATAATGGTTTGACTCCTTTTGTGCTAAATTATCCAGAGCCATTGCTAGGGTTAGGCCGCGTAGCGGTCAGAGGGCGTATTCCCGAATTTTACTTTAATGTTCAAACCTTGGAAGTTGTCCTGTTGAAGCCCTTGGGCAGTTCTATTCAAACCTGTCTCATCAATCATCAACACTATGAGAATCGCTGCCAACATATCTAACCAATCTGACCTAAGGACTTTTGATGGATTCAACCTTTTTCGAACCACCTCGCAAGTGATGCAATCGGTCGGTCATCAAATCGGAAGTTTGGAACTCAAATAAAACACAGCTGCTAAGTTTAGGTAAAAAATTAGTTTTGACCCTTAAAATACAATTCGCAAAAGTTTTTTCTTTCCTCGCTGGGTAAACCAGTCATAACAACATCTACTAGGGCTGTGCGAATAGTGAATTTTCTGAACGAAGCGAATAGCGAATAATTTCGGCAACTATTCGCGAATAGCGAAGCGAATAACGAATAATTTAAGTCAATTATTCACAGCTACGAATAGTAAAACGAATAATTGGAAATGACTTTTTTAAGTGTGAAAATTCGCGAATATTACAGAAGTCGACAAAAAAAAAATGTGACTAATTGTTAAGAATTTTCCATTTGCTCATACACCTGCACAGAGAACAATGAAATGCTATGATAGTAGCCTAGGCTGTTGAGAATTTGTTCGAAGATCCCTGGATGCTGGCTTGACTGTCCCTGCAGTTACGTATGCATTTTCAGGATTTGAAGGTAACTACGCGGGCAGTCAAGCTAGTATTGAAGGTTCACAAGACAAATTTTAGTATTTTATTTTTCTCGCTGTAAATAAAAATGTGTTTATGACCTTTTTTTTTCAATTACAGAAATTCCTGTGTCTTTCAATCCTTGATTTGGGCTCTTTGCTTATTCCCCCAATCGCAATCGCGCTCGCTGTTCGTAAACTCAGCAAAGTCAGTAAAGATCAAAGGAGATCCACCGTTCGCGATGTCTCGGGTGGAAGCGGAAGCCTTAAGCAGGTCCTCGCAACGTTTCACGATTGCCACTCGGAAATTCGTTATTTAGGATGGCGCGAATACTTAAAAATTCATTCCTCGTGACGGCGCGAATATTCGCAATTTGCGAATAGTGCGCGAGGCAGACGAAGCGAATATTCGCGGCGCGAATAGTCGGAATTGCGAATATTCGCAGAGCCCTAACATCTACAGAGCTGAAAAATGACCATGTGTAATAGTTCAAGACTTCATGAGGAAAAATAAGAGGAGAGAGAAAAATGAAAAGAGGAAGAAGAGGAAAAAGACTGTATGATGATGAAATAGAACAAGTAGCAAAAGCTACCTGCTGAGGGGGCGCCGCCCCCCCAGACCCCCCCTTTCAAATTATATATGTGAGACTTTGAGTATCATAGAAGTCCTACGGCGACATGCCGAATGAAATGCCACAATTAAAATTATTGGATCAGATGATGAGCTGATAAAAGCCTTACCTAGTAATTTGGGAACATTTCTGACACAGTTTGGTTGCTTTAACTATCACTTTGATTTGCGAAATACAAATTGTTTTCACTTCGTATGTAGTTAAAGAGCTTGATGCAACAACGGCTTTTTTCGCCCCCCCTCTGGAATTTCTTCAGACTTTGTCTATTGATTACTCATACTTGAGCGCTTCTTTTCCCAAATTTTCAGACTCCCAAAAAATTTTGGGGGGGAGCTAGGGGGGTTGGAAGTCAAAACCTGTGAACCTCGATTTCTCTCGAACGAAGAAAGATATCGAGGTCCGGTTTGGACGAAAAATCGTCTAAAATTGCATACTTTAAGATTCTAAAGGTC